AACTGCCTGGATCTGAATCCCTGTTCCACCATTTACTAACTAGCAAATTATTTAACTTCCCCATGCTGTGGTTACCATTTTGCAATCCATAAGTAAGAATGGGTCCCATCTGACTGGGTTGCTGTGGGGATTCAATGATTGATGCACACAAGTTTTAGAGGAAATTTGAAGGCTTTCTCGATCCTTGCAGCATGTTTCTGGGATCATACTTACTCTCTCATCAGAGTCAATGGCCCATGTCCTGAGGCCCTTCGTTCCATGTTGAGATTTTACACACAAAAAAAAAATATTTCACGGAAAAATAAACTGAAATAAAATGCTTGAAAACCCCTAATTTCCCAGCATTTACCAAGGCTCCTCTAATTGTAACATCGGATATATTAAGCCCCAGACTGTACACACCAGGAGCTGTCCCCAGCAGATACTACCATCTACCTGCATCACTTTTATTACACTGCCAGGTGTAGTCAACATCTATAAGGGGCAGACTTCTACTCTGATAAGGCTGAAGAAATGAGCTACAGTGTAATAGTCCAACCATATGTTCTCCTGCCTTATCTGTAAATCCATTATCAGCAATTTTATTGAGACTGTTTAAGCCATTCCATTCTCTTATCCTTACCAACAAATGCTCTTATTCAGTCTTTTTGGACTCCGTTAGGAAAATGCATCAATAATGCAGTATCTATTTTTTTAATTGGCATATCAATTAAGATGTGCTTCCATTGTTTGTGTAATTGTTAGATTTGTCCCCACTGTTAATCAAAGAATTGCAGACTAAAGTAAAAAATATATAATTTTTTAAGAATGATAGTTAACCCAGTGCTGAGATGGGTCTGGTTAACCCAATACTCTCATATATCTCCTAGAATGGTATAAATCACTACATCCTGTTTCCTCTCTTGCTTCAGCAATATGTCTCAAGGCCTTACAAATGCCCCTGACTTCGTAAGTCCACTGTGGAATCTACCTTGAGAATACTAAATACAGACAAAACCTTATGTCCAAAAATGTTCCTATCAATGTTATTTATCATGGCAAACCAATGTGCCAGTCCAAAACTTTTTTAAAAAGGGAATGGTTAAATGAAGTATTGTATAATTAAGTAGCAGTTAAATGATCAAATGAGGTATTATAAAATTACTTAATAGTTAAATGGTTAAAAGAGGTACTGTACTATCATTTAACAGAACATTTTGTAGACATTTAAATAGTGCACTCTGTTCCATTGGCAATTTCTGTAATGCAGTATTAAATGAAAAAAGATATAACACAGTGTATACATATAATATGTTTACAAATGCATAAAATAAAAACTTTCACTTAAAAAAAGATAAGGGGCAGGAATTCAACCCAGTGGTTGACACCCATGTTCCAAATCACAGTACCACGGTTTGATTCCTGACTCAAGCTCCTGGCTTCAGCTTACTGCTAATGCAAGCCCTGGGATGCCATGGGTCACTGCTACCCACATGGGAAACCTGGACTGCATTCCTTGCCCCTGCCCCCTGGTCCCTGGCCTCTGGCTCTTGGCTTTGGTGTTGATCCAACCCTGGCCATTGTGAGCATCTGGATAGTGAACCAACAGATGGGAGTCTCTCTCTCTCTCCCTCTCCCTCTCCCTCTCCCTCGCCCTCTCCCTCTCCCTCTCCCTCTCCCTCTCCCTCTCCCTCTCCCTCTCCCTCTCCCTCGCTACCTTCCTCCTTCCCTCCCTCATTCCCTCACTCCCTCCCTCTATCTCTCAGGTAGATAGCAAATAACAAAAAAAAAAGAAAATATAAAGATATTAATGAATGAATACATGTCCTGATTTTAGACAGGAATGTCAAGAAAGCACCTCTGAGAATCTAAAAGAGGAAAAAAATTACTAAAGAAAGACTACTGAATGCAGAAGAAGCGGCGTGTGCAAGCTTCCAAGTCAGGGAAAACAGGTTACATGGGAGTTACTGAAGCACTGGCCATTATACGCTAACTATACATCATGCAGTCTTCCTTTGATTCCCCATGTAACATTTTCTTGCATAGAATAAAGATTACTTTTATCTCCTGAAAAGAGTGCTTGGGGCTAAAATACTGAATTTGGCATATAACAAGGAAGGGTGGTAATAATAGTAGTTATCTTCCAAGCTTGTTGTGGAGTGAAAAATTACTACACATAAGCACTCTCAGCAGGGTTAGCCAATGGCCAATAAGCACATGAAAAGATGTTCACTGTTATTAGCTAAGAGTAAACTGAAAGCACAGTGAGATATTACTTCACACCCACTAACATGATTATAATGAAAAAGACACATAATAACAAGTATTGCTGAAGAATGTAAAACACTGCAGCCACTTTATAAAATAGTTCAGAAGTTCCTCAAATGTTTAAATGTAGAGTTACCATACGACCCAACATTTCCACTCACAGAGATAAAGAAATGGATAGATGAGGGGGAGAGGTAGACAATAATGCTGATGATGATAGATATGATAGATGAAATGATCAGGATGGGGATGATGATGGACATAGATAGGTAGATGAACAGATGATAGACTCATGAGAAAAGAAAACACATGACCACCCAAAAATTTATATAGGAACATTCATTACAGCATCAGTTACAATAGGCAAAAAGTAGAAATAAATATCCATCAATGGATGAGTGGGCAAATAAAATATGATACATCCACACAATGAAATATTATTCAGCAATTAAAAAGGAATGAAAGCCAGCGCCGTGGCTCACTAGGCTAATCCTCCGCCTTGCAGCACCGGCACCCCGGGTTCTAGTTCCGGTCGGGGTGCCGGATTCTGTCCCGGTTGCCCCTCTTCCAGGCCAGCTCTCTGCTGTGGCCAAGGAGTGCAGTGGAGGATGGCCCAAGTGCTTGGGCCCTGCACCCCATGGGAGACCAGGATAAGTACCTGGCTCCTGGCTTCAGATCAGCACGGTGCGCCGGCCGCAGCGCGCCAGCCGCGGCGGCCATTGGAGGGTGAACCAACAGCAAAGGAAGACCTTTCTCTCTGTCTCTCTCTCACTGTCCACTCTGCCTGTCAAAAAAAAAAAAAAAAAAAAAAAAAAAAGGAGGAATGAAGTCCTGATACATGCTATGACACTAATAAACCTTGAAATGACTACACCAAATCAAAAAAGTCAGTCCCAAATGACCACACATTGTATGACATTATTATATGAAATGACCAAAATAATGGGAAGTAATTGCTTATAGATACCAGTTTTCTTTGGAGGGTGATAAAAAAATGTTCTAAAATTGACTGTGGTGATAGATACACAGTCCTTTGAATAGACCATGGAACCATGCACTTAAATAAGTGAGTGGTATGGCATGTGAATTTTTTTTTTTTAATTTATTTGACAGACAGAGTTAGACAGTGAGAGAGACAGAGAGAAAGGTCTTCCTTCCGTTGGTTCACCCCCCAAATGGCCGCTACAGCCGGCGCCGCACTGATCCGAAGCCAGGAGCCAAGAGCTTCCTCCTGGTCTCCCACACGGGTGCAGGCGCCCAAGCACTTGGGCCATCCTCCACTGCCTTCCCGGGCCACAGCAGAGAGCTGGACTGGAAGAGGAACAGCAGGGACTAGAACCCAGCGCCCATATGGGATGCTGGTGCCACAGGCAGAGGATTAGCCAAGTGAGCCACGGCACTGGCCCTGGCATGTGAATTTTATTTCAATGTGTCGCTCCCCGTCTTCGTGGAGGAACGACACTAAACCCTGCCTAGGCTTCATATCCGAGTCACGGCACCATTATGTCGCTCCCCCTCTTCGTGGAGGAACGACACAGGACCCTGCGCTGTTCTTTCGTCTGCTCGGCCCTCCCCGGGTTTGCTGCTGGTTCTTCCCGGGTTGGCTACTATCCCTTCCACCTCCGTGGAAGGGCAGTTCCCCCTGGCCGCATTCCCCACTTCCGCAGGGGAGCGGCACACCGCCGGCCAGCTTTCTCGGGGGCTGCACGGGTTCCCTTAGATGTTCCCCATAGATGTTCCTGGTGCATGCCGTCTCTCTCCTCCTTTATAGTCCTCCTCCGCCAATCCTAACTCGGCTGCCCACACGCCGAGTACGCTGCTCTCCAATCAGGAGCAAGTCCTACAGTTTATTGGTTGAACTGGAGGCAGCTGGGTAGAAGCTGTTTTCTCCTCTCCCAGCGCCATATTGTAGGAGAGCAGATGCATAGAATAAGTCTTAATTCCAGTAACTTAGTCTAGTCCGAGCTGCTCCCCACACAATGGAGCTGTTATTATAAAGAAATAAAGGGCCAGGCACGTGTGCACATAGTGTATGCTTAATGTTAGGTAGTATCATCATTATTATATAAATATTTCTAAAATATCTCCTTTAAGAGGATAGAATTTTTCCTTACAATTAGACCTATGACTATTGCAGAACATTTTCTAAATCAGGGGTGATAACCTCACATGTCTACAAGAATCATAGAAAAGCCAGAAAGGACCATCAATGAATTACGTGACCCTAGCATAGGGGATTGGTGTGCATGAGGGCAAATTGAAAAGCCAATTCTTTGAAAAGCAATGGGCTACTTCTCAGAATCCATCCACATGACAATGTAGGCCCACAGCTATGAAAACTGGCTTTTCAAAGAAAGTACAGATTTTTAATGTGAAATCTACCAACTTTTAATAGTTGGTACCTATCCCAAAATTATAAATACCGAGAAGGTCAAAATCTGTAATCTAAGCCAACATATCAGTAGTCAAGATCTGGTCCTCTGATGAGTTGGCTTCCTCTGCCATGAGCATAATTTCCAAAATTGGCCTCAAATCTCCCCACCTCCACCCCTAAACCACCTCCACCAGGATTTATCCAAGCCACACAGAGACATAAGAATTCACCCATAAATAGAGTCCCTAAACATTGTTGTAGATGCCAAAGTCATGGAGAGGAATTCAGGACCTACGGTTTTCAATTTCTATAATTTAATTAGCGAACCCTACAACAGATTCTTTGTTCTGAGACCAAATATAATTTACAATGTTGTCTCTCCAGTGAAGCCAGTTTTTATTAATTTCCAGCACAACATTTGGATATACCAGCCAGAACTCCAATATGTTCTTATTTAGTGTTTAATCCCCTAATGCATTCCAATTAATTATTTCAGCTTTATGGCAAACCCTCTTCTGCCAACATCCAAGCTGGGTACCCTGTGTCACTCCACCCACCCAAACAGTCAGCTTGGAAGGTGTCAATATCATTACTTAAGGAGTGGAATGGAGAAGGGCAGGAATGGAAGGAAATTGCGCCTGCAATTATCCACTAAGGCTTCACCAGAGAGGCAGATGGCATTCCTTGCATAAATTATTATTTATCTGTGGAATTCCCCTCTGCCTATTACCAAATCAACCCTTTTAAAAAATTCTTTGTTGGGCCTGTGAAGTCCCCTGGCCGGTTTCCAACGTCTGCTCCCTCCCCCATATCCCACCCTGCAGAGCTGCTGCTAGGCTGCAGATTCCAGTGTGGCCCACGGGCAGCAGGCTAGGCACACTGAAGGCACAGCAGGTGCAAGCGCGTTTGGACGACGGGCACAGCAGGAGTCTACGGTGCGGCGACGGCCACGTAGTTCTGAGGCACAAAATGATAAGCAGAGTCGCCAGCTCAGCGTTGCCCTCTGTAACGTGCATCCGCCACCAGACACCCACCAAGGAGCAGGGCGCCGACCTCACAACACATCCCCTCATGGAATCCTTGAGTAAGGACTGAAGTAGGTAATAACATTCCAAGCTGAAAAAAAATAAACACCACAAGTCAAGAGCACTGTAGATCCTCATGAGAACAAAGCAGCTGCCATTCTTGACAGCGTGAATTCTCCTTTCATTTTCAGGACAATGCTCAGGGTGGTTGAGTTGCTGCCATTTTCTCCAGATAGGGAAACTAAGGCTTAATTTAGTACCGTGATTTCTCCAAGCCTCCTCCTTGGGTCAAGGGCAGTGCCATAATTTGAACTTGGGCTTAGACGGGCTCATAGGACTGCTACTGGATTGCCCGCCTGTGTGATTTCCCCCTTGCACCACCATCACTTCTGTCCTTGTCCCCTCACATGAAATTTTCCAGAAGAGAGAGAGAACATGTGCTTTAGCAAACTCTTTAGGGATAGGACTTGTCCATTTATCTGTATCTATCTGTCCTTGAACCCTTGGCATCACACACCTGGAATGGGTACAATGAGAAGTTCAGTCCTCTATCTTGACTCACTCTGAGTTTCTCAGAGGATGCTTGACCTGGTCATTAGCAGCAACAGCATCTGGCACCAGGTTAAACGAGGTCCAAGGTCATATTTGGCCCAGGCTATGGAAGCAAAAGGATTCAGGTGCCAATCCTAGTCCACTCATTGTGAGCTGCAGCAAGTGCCTCTCACACCTCAATTTCTCCCATCTGTAAAATGTAATATTAATCTACACCTCCTAGGATTACCCTGGAGATGTAAGGAAATGATGTAGTAAGGCTTTCTAATGTTTTCAAACCACCAAGATTCATTCTACATCATGACCAAGTTCATACACCTACACATGGGAGGCAGGGGGCCAGCATTAAAAAAACACTTCATCAGCAAAGTAGTTTGGTATTATCTATGCTAGTCCATTGGGTGAAAATGCTGATTACAAACTATTGAATTGATTTCATGATCCACTAATGAGTCATCACTTTTCATCTGAGAACCCCAGCAGTATCAGCTTCTCCTGGCCTGGTTCCTATCCCCATGTTTGCTTGCCTCCCTTCCTTCTTCAGATCCAATAGTTTTTTTCTCTGGGTAGGACTCGAGGTCCAGAACAAAATGACCTGCAGGGGGTGCTGTCTGAAGTTGTTGTTGAAATGTTTGGTTTTTTTATCTCATTGTATCTGCTTCTGGTTGAGTGAACTCAGTTCTACACCTCTGGACCTGGCCTCCGTATTCATCCCCTTTTTCTCAACTATCTCAAGGCCTCACTTGTCATTCAGGACACCCAATGGGAGAACTGAAGCACAGAGTTCTCAGATCTTCTCTCTCTGAATTAAAACGGGGCTGGGCTGGGTAAGGGTCTATCTATGCTTGGAAGCTCCCTCTAATATCAGTCATTCACTAAACATTTACTAAGGATCTCCATGGCAAGCACCATGCTAAAAATATAGAAACCACACATTCTGTGAATGGTACTTGGGGTTGTATGCTGTGGAGAGCAGCATGGGAATATGAATAAAATACAATCCACTCCATCCCTCAGCTACTCCTGGTCAAGGAGTCAGACGTTAAAATCCAGAAAAGCAATAACCTGTCATGTTTCTTAGCACAAAAGGATGAGGGAACAGTTCAAACTCTCAAGGGAAGAGGAAAGCGTCAGGGAAAGTTCCCAAGGGAAGACACTGACCTGGATTGCTAAGACCCAGAAGCAGAGAATGCACCTTGCACTCTGGACGGAGGGATCTATAAAATGGCAGACATGTGGAACAGTAAGTCCTGCGGCAGTTGGAGACAGGAAGGGATGGATTAAGAATTAGTTACCAAACATATACTAAGCTGATCTTCTGTATATTAAGATAATCGAAAATGAATCTTGATGTGAATGGAAGGGGAGAGGGAGTGGGAAAGGGGAGGGTTGTGGGTGGGAGGGACGGTATGGGGGGGAAAGCCATTGTAACCCATGAGTCGTACTTTGGAAATTTATATTCATTAAATAAAAGATAAAAAAAAAAAAAAGAATTAGTTACCAAACATTAGATAACCTGTGAGTGTAGGTCTCGATTTCTCACCTGTCCAATAGGAAGCATATATTAGTACACAATGTTTCATGCTTCCTGAAGTGACAGAGGACATTAATTTCATGGAACTTACCGTGGAACACCATGAAATACTAACACATTAAACTTAAAATAGCGCAAACATTATTTTTTTATTTTCTGCTAAATCATGACACCTTTTTTTTTTTGAACAGGCAGAGTGGACAGTGAGAGAGAGAGAGAGACAGAGAGAAAGGTCTTCCTTTTGCCGTTGGTTCACCCTCCAATGGCCGCCGCGGCCAGCGCGCTACAGCCAGCGCACCACACTGATCCGAAGCCAGGAGCCAGGTGCTTCTCCTGGTCTCCCATAGGGTGCAGGGCCCAAGCACTTGGGCCGTCCTCCACTGCACTCCTGGGCCACAGCAGAGAGCTGGACTGGAAGAGGGGCAACCAGGACAAAATCCAGCACCCCGACCGGGACTAGAACCTGGTGTGCCGGCACCGCAAGGCGGAGGATTAGCCTAGTGAGCCACAGCGCAGGCCAAATCAGGACGCTTTTTAACAATTTCTAACATCTACTGTGTGTAGGCCAGATACCAAGCTCTGCGTTACAGCATTACCTTCTGTAATTCTTATAACACTTTCAATAAGATAGATGCTATTATTATGGTGGCCCATTTTATAGATGAGAAAAGTGAGATTCAGGGAGGTCTTAGGACAGGGTTAATAATTGGCCGTGACAGACTGGGACCCCCAGCAAGTTAACTCACAGCCTCTTCTCACACACTAGATCCTCATATCCATGAGTAATTTAAGAAGTTTACCCACCAACTTCACTCTCTTACCTAGGGAAGTAAGCATGCATTCCTTCTCTCGGTAAAGATTAATTCAGCATTTACCATGAGCCAGACATGATTCTAGCCTGTGACATTTACAATCTCCAGGAGAAAGGAAAGGAAGCCCCCTTCCTGATAGCTACAAAAGGCCACAGTTGGTGCATTTTATTGAGGGAACCCCTTATCCACTCTGAGAACAAATGCTTATGCTTCTGGGCTTCCCAAACATCCTCTGGCTCCATATTTTTTGATTCTGTAAGACAATCAGGGGCTAGGGCAGTAAGGGGAGGGTCCACTTTCATTAGCTCTGTCTGGGAGGAAAGGCAGTGCTTGGAAAAATCAACGAGAGGCAGTAAAGCTGGAGAACTGCTTGAACCAAGGCGCTGAGGTGGGAACGTGCCTGTCACTCAGAGAGACTGTAAATAGACCTGTTTGGCTGAAGTGCAGAGTTGGTGGGAAACAGGGAAAGATAAGGTGGAGACCAGATGCACGAGGGCTTGGAATTCCAGGCTCATGAGGTAGAGCCTTGCTTTTGGCCATTGGGAGCCACTGAAGAATTTTAAATGAAGAGGAAAATCGTGTGCCAGGTTAAATGGAGTAGGGAAGACCAGGACTTACTTTCTGAAAAATGATTCTGGGAGCTACACATAGTGGGTAAAGGAGAAAAGATAGGCATCATGGGTATCAGAAGAACAAGCCGAGCACAGAGGAACAACACCAGGAGAGCATGCACTCCCCGCAGGGACTCCCAGCCTACACTGTTGGCACGTGGTGTCCAACAATCTCTGTTGTGAGGCTGATTCGTGCATCGTAGGACCACAGACTGCATCAGTGGCCTCCACTCAGGGATGCTACTAGTAAACTTCCATCCCTTTGTGACAACCCAAAATGTCTCTAGACATCACCAGGTATTCCCTGGGAGCAAAATGGCCTCTAGTTGAGAACCACTGATTCACAGAAATCAGAGAATGATCACTTCCAGAGGCCTGACAGCAAGCAGCTAAGTCAGCCAGAGAACCTAGAAGGCAGCCAGTGGCTTTGGTGACTGAAGGTTGCTGGATACCTTCAGGAAAGATCTTTTTATCACAAAGCCCATCAAAAGGGATTGTGGAGGGAATGGATCATTTTAAAATGAGAACAATGAAGAGTGAACTGCTCTCACAAAGTCTAGCTTAGAAAACAAAGTCAGAAACTGTTGTTTGAGATTTCCAAGGGTCTGTAAAAGGAACAAAATCCTTTTCCGCTGGCTTCCAAATGCAGATCGAAGATTCAGAAGCAGACGTTTCACCCCATGGGTCTCCGAGGTCCCCTCTACCTCGGACCCAGCATGAATCCATCCTGGGGACAGATGCTGCCCAAAAGGACCATGGCAAAGACAGGCCAGGGAGCCAAAGTGTGGAAACGTCTGCAAGTGCTTGGGTTTGGCACTTACGGAACAATAAACCAACCCTTTGAAGAGGTTAAACAAAGGAACCATTTGTCTACAGAGTAAGGCAGGATTACAGCGAAGGACGAAGAAATAAAAAGAGAACGCCAAACTGGCAATGCAGCTGAGCTTTGCTGGGTCCAGCCTGGGACCCTCTGCCAGGATCAGAGGTCTAGAAACCAGTGGGTAAAAAAACAACCCAAGGTACTCAATGCAACACAGGAAGTACAGGCTCTTGGGTTTTAAATTAAAAAACCATTGACTAATTTTTTTTCCTCTTCAGTTACTTTAACTCATACAATCTGTTAGAAGCAAGGGGGGAAAAGGACATCACTTACCAAAGACTACACATTTTTTCCCCAAAACACACAAAGATTTTCTTCATTTTTTTCTTTCTTTCCCCCTTGTTACTATCCTTATGAATTAATGAGACCAAATTGTATTTCTTTGTCTGTGGAAGGAGCTTGCCTGTGCTCTTATTGGGGTACAGGGTTGACATTAATATGCTTGTGAGCCTTTCTCTTCCTTTAATATTCCCTGGCTAGCTTGGTTTTTAATCTAACAGCCCTTCTTTCAAAATGATCTTTCTGCCTGAGACACGTATTTATCATTCTCTCCCCTCCACTCCCTCTTTGACGGGCCTCCTCTGACTTGAAGGGATTTTGAAATAACAGCCCAGCCATCCTGAGGGGCTTTCTGTCTCCCCACCCCCCCTAGTTGGAGCGAGCTGTTTGATCACCCCGTCCAGTTTCTTTCTCTATTAGGAACCACTCTTATCTGCAGAAGAGCCACTCAGTAGGAAACTTTTTTTCCAGAGCTACTCAAGGGAGACACTGGTGTTATTTTATACCAGTCACACAGTCTCCATCTCTCCTTGTGTGTCTCTGGAAAGAAAAGAGAAAGTTTCATCACGTGGGTCATTCTTTCTGCTTTGTTCTCTGTTTTACCCAAGTATAAAAAAAGGCCTGACTACTCTTGGGAGAATACGCGGTTGTAGAATTGCACCACGTTCCCTTCCGCGAGGTGATCCTGGCAGACTGAGCACTTGGGAGCCTGCCCTGTGGAGGACGACAGAGCTGCCCTTCGGAGACCTGCTCTTCTTAGAAGCCCAACACGTTCCCAGCAGCATTTCTCTGCGCTGCCCCCACCACCACCACCCCAAGAGGGCGATCCCTAGCCTCAGAGTGTCCCAGATCATCACACAGGGACAGTCGGCCAGAAGCCACCTCCTGCTGCCTTCCAAAATGAGCACTGGAAGCAGTGAGACACAGGGTTTCCCTGAATGCATCTCCTTCACAGGGGTGGGAACCTTTAGTGCGCCAACGGCCATTCGGCTATCTGTGACATTGCTCACGGGCCACAGAAATTATCAACTTAAAAAGTAGCCTGCTATAGATTGACCGAATTCCAAGCCCCACCTGCGGTTGCCCTGTCAGGACCAGACCAATGATTTTGCAGGCCTTCTACCACTGAGGGCCGGGTGTTCCCTGTCCCTGCCTTAAAAGATAAATCTCCCTGTCAAATAAAAATAAATAAATAAACAAACCAACTCCAGGGGCCGGCTCTGTGGCACAGCGAGTTAAAGCCGAGGCCCGCAGTGCTGGGATCATATGGGCACTTGTTGGAGCTTTGGCTGCTCCACTTCCGATCCAGTGCTGTGCTAATGCACCCAGGAAACCAGAAGATGGCCCAAGTAGCTGGGTCTTTGCCAACCCAATGGGAGACCCAGAAGAAGCTCCTGGATTGTGGCTTCTCCTTGGCCCAGCCCTGGCTGTTGCAGCAATTTGGGGAGTGAACCACCAGATGGAAAATCTCTCAGTCTCCTCTTCTCTCTGTAACTCTGCCTCTCAAATAAGTAAATCTTTAAAAAAAATAATAATAATAATCTGCAGTACTGGCTCTGTGGAATCAGGATTAAATACTCTTGTAATTTTCTCAGCCCTGTTTCTATTTCATTTATTTTCACAATGAACATGTGTCCTGTGGGCCATGGCAAATGATATTATTAGTTGTAACCTCCTAGGTCATGTCTTCACCCAGTAAAGGCCTATTCCATGTCAAATGTGTCTCAAAAATTACTGCAAGAAAGACACTGAGGGCCCTTAACCTCGATGAGATCTGGCTTTGCCGCTGTGTGAGTTGAAGATGGTCCCTACCTTAAGTGGAGACACAAAACAACTCCAAGCTGGTACCTGAAGGTAGCACCCCAGGCAAAGTCACCTGCCTGGGGGAGAGTGGGCTGAGTCCTGGACCCACAGGCCATTCGTCTGTCTGTGGTTTCCATGCCCCACACTGGGCTGGCACAATTTGGGAGGCAGACCTTAAAAATATGGCATATCTGCCATCTTCAGCAACTTCCAAAATTTCTGAGGTCAAGTTAGATCTACTACTACTACTATTATTATTATTGCTATTATTATTCTGAACTTACTGGGGGAGCAGGAGGCCCGGCAGAAGGCGAAGGCGAGGGGAGTTTGGTTTTGCTTCTTGATTTGTTGTTGTTGTTGTTGTTGTTGGTTTGGGGCCTTGGGGCCTAAGGAGAGCGCTTACTTTGCCTGTAACCATTACTGCCACAGGGCCAGGCTCCCGGGACAGCACCCTACGCCGCACCTTCCAAGAACCACTTTCCACCGCAAGATTCCCGGGGGCACTTCTGGGCGCCTCTTTCACCCCAGAGAAGTCTACTTTAAATTTTCACCCCCACTACACCTGCTCCTTAAATGCCCAGCTCATTAGCCCCGTCCGTTATGGCACGGCCGTCTTTCTTGGTATTAAATTCTTTTTTATATATATATAAAAGAAAAAGGCCTTGAACACGTCATGCAGGGGAATCTCAAGTGCCCCCTTTCCCTCTCAGCTACCAAGTTTTAAACATCGAGAGTATCAGGAGGCAAAACCAAACGCCCCTCGCCTACCGCGGGGCCTCTTGCTCCCCCAACAACGTCAGCGTCGGTGGGGCTCGCAGAGCCGGCCTTCGGGAAGTGGCAGCTTTTCTCAGACGCGTGGGCCGCACAGCTGGGGGCGCGGCTTCCAGGTTTTGCTGGAAGGCTTGTTTTCGTGCGTGTACCTGTGGACTCTCGCACGTGTCCCATGAAGAGCGCTGCTTCCCCTCAGGACGAAGTTCACTTGCGAGGACAGCCGGGTTTAGCCTCCTCCGCCTCCCGTGCGGTGGAGTGCACGCCTCTGAAGCACTTTCCCTCCACTCGCTCGGCCTCCTCCCGGCCCGGCCCTCCGCGGTGGGCGCGAAAGGACCCCCACGGGGGGGATGGGGGGTGGCTGGAGGCCTCGCGGCGCGGGCTCCGGGCGCCCTGCCCCCACCGCCCCCGCCCGGGCAGGCGCCGGCCGGCAGAGGGCGCGCTGACTTCACGTTCGCGAAGCCGAGCGCGGGTGCCGCCCGGGGAGGGGGCGGGGAAGAGGCGCTCTGCAGGGAACCCAGCTGGGGACTGGCCGCTCCCCGCGTTTGCGGCAAAGGCCTGCAGGCTGCAGTCGGCTGCCAGCCTTAAAGCCGAATTGCGCAGTGAACCTCGGTAGGGAAAGTTACTACGCATTGAACGCCGAGCTGCAAACTCAATGGGAAATCACTTATCTTGAGTAGTGTGTGCACTATCCACGCACACACACCCCCAAGTTTCTTTTTCTTTTCTTTTCTTTTTTTTTAGGGCCGGGGGAGGGTGGGAAAAGTTTAGTTAAAATGCTTTTTGTGTTGGGACCAGCGATGAGAAGACTGCTTTTGTTTTGCTGCCGTGGAATAATGCAAAATACCAAATACCGAGATCGTGCATTGTCTACTAGCTGTAGATCCATTCACCGAGCGGACAAATCCGGTTTCGGGCCGAGTAGTAAGGCGGGTCGAAGTGTCCATGCACTGTGTAGACAGGCTTGCAGGTAACAGTAACACTTTAAGCACGGTATTCGAGAAAAAAAAAAAATTCAAAGTCAGTGAACTAGGAAATGAATGCCGCCCATGAACCCAATTTTTAATTAGCTCGAGTCCCCACCCCGCCCCCAACAAAAGGGCACGGCACGGAAGTCATGCGTCCTCGTCTCAGCTTTGATCAGAATCGGTGCATTTTTCTGTGTGCACGATCACGACCCCAATAATGAAGAGAGGAGAGGATCCAGACTGGACGCAAACGTCCGGTGTGTCCGGGGAGGCAAGAGTTAACGGTTTTCTGCACCAGGGTCCCCGCAGCCGCCCCAGGCCGGGTCCCCAAGCTCAGCCCTTCCCCTGTGTAGGGCAGTCGGGTCCTGCCCCTCCCAAATTCTCCCGTCTAGCGCCTTTAATTTCTCCCCAACCCGGGAGCGCGACTCTGGTGCAAACCGGCGCCACGGGGCGCAAGGAGCACTCGTCTCCTCTAAAACCCTGCGAGGCGCGGGGGTGGGACCGGGGCGCAGCCCGGCGGAGAGCGCAGTCCGGGCCGGTGGCCCGCGGCGCGCACCCGCCAGCGCGCTCCTCCCGGACTCCACCTCCGGAACTCGCAGGAGGAGCCCGGGGATGAGCCCGACCTGGGGGGGTGGGGGGGCGAGCGCCTCCCGAGCGGGGGCCCGTGGAAGTCTCCGAGGGCGGGGCGGTGTGTGCTGCTTTGGCAGCAAACTGGGGACTCGTTCTGGGTGGAAAGTGCCCAATCCAGATAGCTGTGCACACGTAACGCATAATGCATTACACCCACCCAACAGACGCAGGGGGTGTTTATTCATTAGGCACTCTCCACGTAGACGTGGCACTGTGTTGCTGACTTGTTTTCGTAATTCCAGGCATCATTTTTCCTCCCGCACCTTTATCCTTTCAACCCATCTACACTACCACTCTCCACAGCCTAGCGCGCCCATAAATACCCCGTCTTGCCTCCTATCGCGCGCTACCGATTTTTCCAAACGTTGCTCTTTGCCCAGCCTAAGGGAGGCGCCTGGCGACCCGGGACGCACTCGGCGTGGCCGTGGGTACGAGATGTATTGGCCGTGGGGAGGGCAGCTGTTCCCCCGCGCTGATGTAAACACGCAGCACAGAAGCGCACTTGCTCAGACTGCGCCGCGCGAGCAGGGACAGGGTAGGCGTGCGGCAGGTTCGCCCCGCTCTCCGACTGTTTACATCCGAGGGCTGGAGCGCAGGCCGCCGGCCCCAGTCTCCTCCCCTTCCCTCGCTTCCCCACCAGCGCCCCTCCCGGGTTCCCAAAGCAGAGGGCGGAGGAGCTAGAAAAAAAAAAAAAAAAAAGACTCCCTCCCTCGAATCCCCGCCCACCGGCCCTTTATAACGCGAGGGTCTGCGCGGCCGAGGACCCCCGAGTTGCGCTCCTCGCGGCGGCTCTGGCTGCCGCGCCCGGCCGCCGCCTGGTTCCCCTCCGGCCCGAAGGGCAGGGCTCCTCCGAGGCTTGGCGGGAAAAAGGAACGGAGGGGAGGGATCGTGCTGGCAATATAAAAGCCGGTTTTTGGGGCTTTATCTGACTCGCTGTAGTAATTCCAGCGAGAGGCAGAGGGAGCGAGCGGGCGGCCCGAGCCGAGGGAGCCGAGTAGAACCGCGCTCCGGCGCTCGAGCAAGGGAGATCCGGAGCCTCCGGGGGCTTCGCCTCCGGCCAGCGCCCCCACCCACCGCGCCGACCACCCGCCCGCGCCCCCGCAGACCTCGCCGAGTCGGCGGAACTTCGCCCACTGCGCCAGGCGGCCGCTTTGCACTGGAACTTACGGCACCGAGCGCGGACGCGGCGCTCCGGACGCGGCGCGGCTGTTCCGCCAGCGGGGGACCCTTCCCCTGTGCCGCCCCGGACCGCTCCTCTTGAGAGACGGTCCTCGCCGCTGTTCGGGCGCAGGATTCCCTTCGGGGCTTGGAACACCCGGTAAGCTCCTGGATCTGTCTTTTTTTTCCTCTTTTCGTCGCGGCTTTGACGCTGCGGCGAGTCGAGTGCCCAAATGGGGCTGCCTTTGCTCCCTTTCCCGTGCTGCTGACACTTTTCTCAGGATGATCGCGGCGGGTCGGGCTGGATCGGGGTGCGATGACTTGTCAAGGGGAAGGGGCCGGCAGAGGGACCAGGGGCGCGATCTGGAAACTCGCTTTCGGGAGCTTTGCCTGCGCGCGAGTGCTACTGACGCTTGGATATTCCTGCTTTATGACATTAATTGCTGTTTGGGGTTTTTTGGTGTGTTTTTTTTTTTTTCTTTCGGGGATGGAACGGGCGTCTCAGCTTGGAGGTGGGCAGAAAAAGCCCTGTGCATCCCGAGCTCCATGGAGTGTGGACTACAAATTGCCTGAGCGGGAGAGCCCCGCGGCCGCTGACTTTTCCCGGTCTCTGGGAGGACATTTAAATTTCGGCTTTGCGCATTTGTGACAGCCGGAGACAGACACTGCGGCGCGTCCCGCCCGCCGATCCCTGCGGCGATTCCAACTCGCCCCTTGCTCCTTTTAAGAAGTTGTTTTTTAAAAATATATATTTTAATAAAATGGAAAACCTTGATCTCTATTTAAAGTGTTACGACTTGATGTTGGGGCAGGCGCGGGGAAAGGAGAGGGAGGCCGGCGCAGGGATGTGTCCGATTTTCCTGGAATGGTTGACTCGGGCAACACCACGGCGAATCTCAGCATCCAGCCCTGGTGCCCCGCCACCGCCCGCGGGTGTCCCGCGCCCCTGAGATGCGGGGGGTGGGAGGCGTGGACGGCGCGGAGCCGGGCTCGGGGCTGCTCCGAAACAGCTGCTACCCACGGCGGGGAAGCGCAGACGCTGGGCTCCCGGCGCGGAGTCGCTGCGGGCTCTGTGGCGCAGTTGCGCCGCCGTGTTGAGGCTGGAAGGGAGGTGCCCCTGTTACGATGTGACACCCCCCCACCTTTTATTTATTGGGAGGGGGCTGTTAAAGCCCGCTGCTGAGCTCGCCACCCCTGCCGGCGAGAGACTAGAAGAAAAAGCCGGCAGAGGAAGGAAGGGGGGTGGGGATGGAGGCGGCGGCGAGGGGAGGTTGGGAGGGGCGGCGGCGGCGCCGGCCGGGCAGGAGCGCGTCGAGGGCGCGAGTGGGAGCGGGCGCGGCGGCGCGGAGGGGCCCGGAGAGGGAGGGGGCCGCGCGCCACCGCTCGCGCCGAGGCGCCTCTCGGCTTCTCCTTCAGGTGGCGCAAAACTTTGCGCCCTCGGTTTGGCAGCACATATTCCCTACCGCCGCCTCTTAAGGAGGCCAAAGCCGATTTCGATTTCTGGGCGGCTGCGGAGCCGACTCCCGGGCTGCACAACCCCGGGGGGCTCCCCCGGCGGCGGGCGAGCGACTCGGCGGGCACCACGCAGCTGGCGTGCCGGGTGCGGGTCCGGGATCGTACGGGGTCGTCCGAAGGTGCGGGGGAAAGAGGTGTCTTTTTTTTTTTTTAATTATTATTTCTTTTCTCTTGGGTCCCCCTCTTCCTGGCCCCTTTGGGCAGGGAGTGGAGAGGGAGGCGGTGGAGCGCGCTGAAAGGGGAGTGGTCGGGGCTTGGCGGTGCGCGCTGCGCGGCGCTCCGGGTTTCGGGCTCCAGCGAGACCCTAACTCAAGGCTGCCCCCCCTTTGTGTGCCCCGCAGCAGGCTACGCGACGATGCCCCTCAACGTCAGCTTCGCCACCAACAGGAACTATGACCTGGACTACGACTCGGTGCAGCCCTATTTCTACTGCGATGAGGAGGAGAACTTCTACCAGCAGCAGCAGCAGAGCGAGCTGCAGCCGCCGGCGCCCAGCGAGGATATCTGGAAGAAATTCGAGCTGCTGCCCACCCCGCCCCTGTCCCCGAGCCGCCGCTCCGGCCTCTGCTCGCCCTCCTACGTTGCCGTCGCGTCCTTCTCCCCCAGGGGAGACGACGGCGGCGGCGGCGGCAGCTTCTCCACGGCTGACCAGCTGGAGATGGTCACCGAGCTGCTGGGCGGTGACATGGTGAACCAGAGCTTCATCTGCGACCCGGACGACGAGACCTTCATCAAGAACATCATCATCCAGGACTGCATGTGGAGCGGCTTCTCGGCCGCCGCCAAGCTCGTCTCGGAGAAGCTGGCCTCCTACCAGGCTGCGCGCAAGGACAGCGGCAGCCCGAGCCCCGCCCGCGGCCACGGCGGCTGCTCCACCTCCAGCCTGTACCTGCAGGACCTGAGCGCCGCCGCCTCCGAATGCATCGACCCCTCGGTGGTCTTCCCCTACCCACTGCACGACAGCAGCTCGCCCAAGCCCTGCGCCTCGCCCGACTCCAGCGCCTTCTCCCCGTCCTCGGACTCTCTGCTCTCCTCCAACGAGTCCTCTCCGCGGGCCAGCCCTGAGCCCCTGGTGCTCCATGAAGAGACACCGCCCACCACCAGCAGCGACTCTGGTAAGCCTGAGGCCACTCCAGGCCGATCCAGGAGGGGGCGGGGTGGATGGACGCCTGTCTGTTCTCACTGGCTGCTGATCAGTGGGGCACTTGAGCCCATTCTGCGTGCGTCTGTGCCGGTATTTGGAAGGAGAAATGGCGGAGCTGGGACGGTGGGGCGCTCATCAACCCCGGAACCCTGGACTTTTTTAGAGTACCCTTGGCGCTTAGACCGTCCCAGTTTGCCATCCCCCCCCTTCTCTCCCACCCCTCAGGAATTTCATTTGGGTTTTTAAATCTCCTGGCTTATCCATCCACTCCCTCTTACCTCTTAAGCATTTTAATTGCCTGGGGGGTGGGGGTGGGGGGGGCGTGTGAATGAGGATAAGAAAGGATTGATCTCCAGGAGTGAATGAATTGCCTGCCTCCCTTCCTTAACTTCTGAGAAGTGGCTGAAATTGAGTGGACTCAAGGCAGCTACAAGAATGAGGGGAGGGAGGCCAGCCTGCTGCCTGAGGGCTGCAGCTAGTGAAAGTGCCTATTCTGAACACTTAGAAGCAAAGCCTTGCCAAAACTAGACTTTTTTGCTCTTTCGCCCATCCCCCAGGACTTGTTGGCAAAGTTGTAAGATTTTTTTTTGCACTTCCAGTAAAATAGGGAGTTGCTAATATAGCACCTGAAGGTTCTTGGTAAAGTCCCTTAAAAATAGGAGGTGCTTGGGAACATGCTTGACTCTGGGTGTGTCCAAAGCCTCATTAAGTCTTAGGTAAGAATTGGCATCAATGTGATGTCCTGGCAAATTATAATTTTCTTGTCTGCACCACCACCCCAGCTGTCAATCTCCTCCCATTTAAATCTCACTTTGTAGGGGAGAAGAAACAGTGAGGCGTGTGCTTCTTTGGGGGTGCCGTTGTAACGTCCCAGTGCCTCCTGTTTGCATAGCATTCATTAAGCAAACAACGCAGTCATTGATTGTTGGGAAGCATTGCTAACCGGGTGATTTCTGTTTCTTTTCTTAAAGAGGAAGAACAAGAGGATGAGGAAGAAATCGATGTCGTTTCTGTGGAAAAGAGGCAGCCCTCCACCAAAAGGTCAGGGTCACCATCTGCAGGGGGCCACAGCAAACCTCCACACAGCCCGCTGGTCCTCAAGAGGTGCCACGTCTCCACCCATCAGCACAATTACGCCGCGCCCCCATCCACCAGGAAGGACTACCCAGCTGCCAAGCGGGCCAAGTTGGACAGTGGCCGAGTCCTGAAGCAGATCAGCAACAATCGCAGATGTGCCAGCCCCAGGTCCTCAGACACCGAGGAGAACGACAAGAGGCGGACACACAACGTCTTGGAACGCCAGAGGAGAAATGAGCTGAAAAGGAGCTTTTTTGCCCTGCGTGACCAGATCCCAGAGTTGGAAAACAATGAAAAGGCCCCCAAGGTAGTTATCCTTAAAAAAGCCACGGCGTACATCCTGGCCGTCCAAGCAGAGGAGCAAAAGCTCATTTCAGAGAAGGACTTGTTGCGGAAACGGCGAGAACAGTTGAAACACAAACTTGAACAGCTACGGAACTCTTGTGCATAAGTTGACCTATTGGAGGGAGGAACTGGACTGGCTCATGAATTCTCATTTGTTACTAAGGGAAATTAAGGAAACAGGTTCCTTCTGACAGAACTGCAGCAATCCATTACGTATGAACTTATTTCACATGCATGGTCAAGTGCAACCTCACAACCTTGGCTGGGTCTTGGGACTGTAAGGTTTAGCCATAAAGTAAACTGCCTCAAATGGGACTTTGGGCATAAAATAACTTTTTTTATGCTTGCCATCTTTTTTTTGTTTGTTTCTTTTAACAGATTTGTATTTAAGAATTGTTTTTAAAAAATTCTAAAGTTTACCCAACTT